TTTGCTGCTCGCTACTCTTGCATTTGAAAAGCTCGGGAAACTGTTAAAAATGACGCAATTCACCCTGCAATTCTTAAAATGACGGCATAATAGGCAAGAAATTGAAATACGATAATTTCATCAAAATTTGATTTATATAATTTTTATTTTGAAATATTACTAACACATTTTCTGAGGAAATTGTAATGTTTTGGTCGTGCGTCGTAGGACCATATCTTGCGCATATTAAAGCATAATAAAATCCTTATTCTTGTTTATTTTTTAACCAAAAAGAAAATCATACTCAAAGTGATACGAAAAAATTTTGTTGAAAATTTAAACTCAGAGCGTGTATTATTTTCAAAAAAAAAAAAATGTCCACGATTTTACTGGACACCCCCCATAATGCTAGGAGGAATATTCTAAAAATTTATGAAATTGCTCCACAAATCCTTGCACTTTCGCATTTGATCAAAATTTGAGAAAACCTACGCTTGTCTGTGCATTTTTATCCCGTTTTCAATGAAATCTTTACCAATAGTGACTAATCAGTTGCACTGACCACGTTTGTGTAGCAATAACATCAAATCCTTAAATTATTGTGCTCCTTAATTTACCCTGTTTCTGCAAAATTAAATAAGGTATGCCCTTGTGTTGGAATTGTTTTGTTGCTATGTAATATAACCTCGGATAGTAAAGAACCGTGACATCATATGACATCAAAACGTGTCCTGGTTACATTATACCGTCTGTACAATGCATGTGTAAGAAAATAAATTTTCATCTCTTTTTGAATGAGGAACCGGTATATGCGTTTTAAGTACATGTAGTTCATCTGCTTAGAAATACCAATACAAAGCCCTAACTCACTTGCATTGTTACTGTCCAATAACTATAAGTCATATCTCGTTAGAATGTACCAATTTTTCACCGATTCGAAGACATTTTAATAATATACAAACGATGCACGAACACTTGGCAAACTTTAATATGAGTATAAATTTAACTGTTGACATATTTTCAAACTTTAATACTGATAGATGGGAGGGTAGATGGTGCCCATTTCAAGGATTACAACCCCTTTGACATATGTGCCAACTGCTCTGTTTTTCAAAATAGAATAGGCTCACTTGGGGTCCAAGAAAAACTACAAAATTTCAAAAAGCGGTCATATGAACTAAATTGAATCGCCGATATATGGCTGAAATACTACTGACTCAGCAATAAACAGTAATAAAAAAAAATCATGTACTTCCTTTGAAATACATTCCTATAACCCATTTTCTTCCAATGGTCTAAAAAGTTTCTTTGTTTTTCTCAATATTTTGCATATGTATTGTTTGGTTGTCTTCTCTTAACTTCCGTTAGTGCAGCTTTGAACAGCTCAAAAAAAAAAACAAAACAAAAAAAACAAACAAAAACAAACAAAAACAAAAACAAAACAAAACAAAACAAAAAACAAAAATCGCTAAGTTGTCAGTGATACAGATTGATTATTTTGGTCCTCAATTGTAAAAATCCTAACCATTACTGAGTATATTTTAATATTTTGCATAAGAACTTAGGGTTCTGAAAAGCTACAGACACGGGAGGAAAATATTGGCATGTTATTGAATTTATTCTCGTTTTCTTTAATCATTTGTAGAGTTTAAAACATCAAATATTGAAACCGTAATTAAAATCAACTCTCATCGGTTCTTTCTGCACTTTGATTATTAACGTTTCTGTAGGTCATGTGACGTCACTTTACTGCTAGTTTTACTGTGTATAATTCAACGCGTGAGTATACACGAAGCGACATTCATTTGAATTTGGACGATAATATCGCAGTGAGGGTAGATAAATAATGTCGCTGGCGGCAATATGTGCTGGTGACAAAATATACCATCCCAATGGGGAAACAATATCACCAGTCTGCGTCTATGACGGTAGATATTGCAACAATATGTACCTATCCTCACTGCACATATTGTCGTCCATCGGTACATATTATCGCCGGCTGATAAGTTATACATGTACATATTGTCATATGAACTAAATTGAATCGCCGATATATGGCTGAAATATAAGATATCATCTACTTCTTTTGAAATACATTCCTAAAACCCATTTTCTTCGAATGCTCTAAAATGTTTCTTTGTCTTTCTCAATATCTTGCGTATGTATTTGGGTTGTCCTCTATTAAGTTCCGTTAGTGCAGCTTTGATCGGCTCAAAAAAAAAAAAACAAATATAAAACAAAACAACAACAACAAAAACAAACCCCCTAAGTTGTCAGTGATACACATAGATTTTTTTGGTCGTCAAATGTAAAAATCCTAACAATTTCTGAGAATATTAACATTTTGCATAAGAACTTAAGGTTCTGAAAAACTACAGACACGGGAGGAAAATACAGGCATGTTATTGAATCTATTCTCGTTAAAAACCCACAGTACTTGTTTATCTTGACATTGAGCCGTCTCAACACAAATATGTGTCGTGAATTTTCACAATCTATTTTCATTTTAGCAAATATGTTAAGTAGTCCGAAATACACGTAAGTTGCACGGGTTAATCAGTGACCAAGAAGTTATCGGTTGAAGCATTTACCTTTCAGTTTCGGTCAAACCCAGACGTCTGTGATCATGGGACTGTGGATTTATATTTTGTTTTCTACATTTCCTTTGTATGAAGGTAACTCTCATTTTCCACCATTCTTTAGTTCTTTTTCACTCTTCTAATGTTGATTCTCTTCACACTTCACGTTTAGAATAAATACATTTATATTCATTCTATTTGATGTATAATTACAAGTAAGAAAATTCATTTGTGGCGATATCTGTCAAACTGATATTTGTGAAACTTGTGTATTTGTTTCTGATTCTCAATGGTATTCAAAATTAATAATGGTGAAAATAATTTATAAAGATCTTAATAGTTATTGTAGTAAAATTATTTATCTAGATCAAAAGTCAAGAATCCTTAAAATGTGTTATATGTCATCGTATCAAAAGGAGTCAAGGTCACAAAATTAATGACAAGTTGCCGTCCTTTAAAAAAGGACTGCAATACGTGGACCATATGCATGTGTTTCTACACGAAATTCAAAGAAAATTTCTAGATTTAGTGATTTTACAAAGGTGTAATTAAATTTAATTTTTTTTACGTGTATGTTGTAATTTTCATGGCTATTTAAGTCTGCTAAATTAGGCTGTAATGATAAACAAGAGGCCCAAGGGCCTTAACGGTCACCTGAGTATCATACAACAATTTAGAGAATCCATAGAGTATAAAATGAACTAAAAGGTGAACCTTTGTTGCCCAAATGCAAGAAAAATAGGGTGATCAGGATCAACAAAATAATTAGTCTAGTATTCATTAACAGTTATAAATTAGATTCTAATCTCTTCCCCATTTATCACTCTCACCATAAGTCTATTAACAAACTATCAGTGCTTCTGTAATATTTTAATTCCTTGTTGAAATCTCTTACATTAGCCTCTCTTGGTCTTTGATCAACATTTCATAAGACAAGTTATTTTTGTCTGATTTTTATTTATCTACTACTTACAAGTCTACCTGATCATTAAAACTAAGAAAGTACTTTTTGTATTATACAATAACAATTCTTGCATAATTCTCCTATTCTATTAACCTTTCAAGTACATTATTTACAGTGATTAATTATCAAAAGTAAATGGCAAAGGGGAATAACTCCTCTCAGTAGAATACAAATTAATAGAGCCCTGGCCCGGACCAGAACACTTGAACAAATGGTCCAGATGTTCAAAAATCTGGTAAAAATACCCTTCCTTATTAAAACTTTTACTCTTTTTGCCTCTGATATGCCCAGGTGCAGAGAAGATTTTAAAGAAATAATGCATTTTTACTACAGATTCACTATATTCATTATATTATCAAAGAGCCCCCCCCCCTCCCCACCGAGAAACAACAGAGCCTCTCACCCTGGGACCAGAAGTTTGCTCATCATAAGTAATCACTTTGTTTGTCTACTTAACACTAAGAGCAGACAGGATTATTTAATAGAATTAATGCATTTTCACTATATTATCAAGAGCCCCCACCCTTACACCAGCACATCTGACCCAGGGGGTCATGAAATTTACTACTCTGGAAGAAGCACTCTTGCTCATCATAACTATACACTTAGCTTCTTTGCTTTTTAACCAGAATATTTTCAAAGAAATTTTGCTTTTTCGCTATATAATCAATAGAGCCCCCCCCCCCTTTTCACCAGAACCCTTGATCCTGGGAGCCTGAAATTCACAATTTTGGAAGAGGCATCCTTGCATATCATAACAATGTACTTAGTTTATTTAAATAATACCCAGGGGCAGAGAAGAAGATTCTCAAAGAAATAATTCACCTTCACTATAGGATCTATATAGCCCCACCCTAGCACCAGAACCCCTGTCCCTGGGGCAATGAATTTAACAATTTTGGATGAGGCATTCTTGCTTACCATAATAATGTATTCAATTTGTTTAAATAATAACCAGGAGTAGAGAAGAAGATTTTCAAAGAAATTTTGCTTTTTCACTATATAATCAATAGAGCCCCCCCCCCCTCCTTTTCACCAGAACCCTTGACCCTGGGGCCATGAATTTCACAAATTTGGTAGAGTCAGCCTATCATAACTATGTATTTAATTTGTTTAAATAATACCCAGGAATAAAGAAAAATATTTTCAAAGAAATTTTGCTTTCTCAATATATAATTAATAGAGCCCCCCCCCCACCTTTTCACCAGGGCTGGGATTCATAAAACTTCTAAGATTATTCTTAAAAGTTGCACTTAAGTACTAAAAAAAATCTTAGCTAAGAAAAAATCTTAAGTATCAATTCATAAAAGTTCTAAGTACAATTCTTAGCTAAGTTTGAATTCTAAGAAAATTAGAACACTTAAGTTCAATCACCCTAGCAACGCATAGAAATTCCCGAACAAAAAAGAGCGCTCTTATGTGATGGAGGTATTTTTTGTCAAATACAGTTTATAAATAGATCTAGATACAGACGAGAGATGGCGTCCGATGAAAAACGAGAAAAAAAGAGGAAAGCGAACTGGACACAGGATGAATGTTTGATTCTAGCCACCTTTGTAAATGAAAAGAAGCACATTCTGCGTTCCAAATTAGGGCCTAACCTTACATCTAAAATGAAAAAAGACACTTGGGAGAGGGTGATGGAGCAACTCAACGCGTCGTCAAGTACGCCGAGGACCGTCGAAGAAGTGGAAAAAAAATGGCAGAATATCTTGTCAACAGCCAAATCTGAGATTTCCTCTTACAGAAAGGAGGTAACTGCCACAGGTAACACTAATTCAAGTTATATATGATTCGACCTAATTGACGAACTTTGCAGATGTGAAGCGCAATAACATGAATAGATAGTGGTGTAGATGTACGTATGTAAAGTGCCTTGTATCATGGCTGTGGTGTTTTTCCTTTGAAGTAAAGTGTACAATGGAGATACACCTATGGACGGAGCCAGCAAAACTGTGCCGTGTAAATAAATTATTGAACACCAAGGCGATTTCAACATTTTAAATTAGGCCTACATGTATTTTGAAGAAATACAGAATAAAATAGGCTTTGATATATACAAAGACAAAATTTCTGAAAATGAAATAAAGGTCTTTCACATAATAAATTACAGTGCACATGTATCCCAAAATACAAAATGTTTTTACAGCGTTTTTGCTCATGCCACAGCTCTCGAATATGTCAAATGATCAATGGGTATCTTTTTTTTCCTTGACTTTCAATTAACACCTGAATTTCCCTTCATCAACTTTGAATTTTTCATCCTTGAAATCCGAAGGTTTTCTTATGAATTTCATTAACAATCCGTTTTTATATTAAGTTGGAGAGCTGCAATCCGACGTTCTTTCTCATGAACACGCACATAAAATGTGCAAATTAAAAAAAATACTGGCGGGAAGGAGAGAATATCCATGCGGTCACCTGACAAAAACTAAATTTTTTTTATTGGTGTAATTAAAAATCATGCTTGAAAATTTGGGACAGAACAGTTATTGACGTTTTGATTGGCCATGATACAAGAAAGTTATTGAATATTTATTATGGTGTATCCTGATTTATTTGGACGAAGGGGCGGAGACTCGTGCTTCGCACTCGTCACCGCCCTTCGTCCAAATGAATCAGGATACACCATAATAAATATACAATAACTATTACTTGGCATTTGGATCAATTGGTATAAATTTATATTTTTTGTAGATGTACATGCATGGCAATGTGTTATTTGCATGATTAGCTTATCAATTTCTGTATTACCACAGGCGGAGGACCTCCCTCAAAACCTCTCAGTGCTGTAGCAGAGACAGTACAAATGGTAATTGGGGAAACAAATTCTATAATAAGTGGGATAGATGGAGGCATTGACTCTTCACAGGTTCTACATCTTTTTACAGATGAAAATGTTTGGTAAATAAAAGTAATGTTCTTCCATTACCATATACTATACATTGTATAATCAATTTTAGTTTCTCAGCTCGATCAGTATGCATGCAGGTATGAGAAATTAAACATTTTAAATTCTAGAAGACATTCTAACATTCTAGAAGAAAAGTGTTTGATTCTGCTTTCAGGCTAAAAACAAATATATGGTAATGAAGAGTAGGAAATCAATTAAGAAATATTTCCAGGACTTCTTTACAAAAACAAAACTTCTAAGTAGCACTGATGACAAAAGAAATAGTTCTTTAAAACCTTTCTTAAATTCAGATCTTCACTGAAAAAAGCAGTAAAAAACATTAGGGTCAGCGTTATAAATTAGGGTTGTTTGGGAAAGCAGAAAGAAAGATAACTTTCTTCTAGGAAATAAATTGTGAATTGAATATAAGGTAAAAAAAATTTTAGGAGAATAAGGAATAAAATGTTTTGGAAGTCATAAACATTATCTTCAATGAACATAAGACTTTCCTTAAAAAAAGATAAACAATGTGAATAATTATAAAAGTTGATGGTCTTTTAATTGTTTCAGTTCCATTCAGTTTTTACAAGAAGCAAGTTCCAACAATCATCAGCATGTAGCATCAGCATCAACTAGCATTCTGCCACTATCCCCTGGTTTGTTATCACCAACTCCTACATCAACTTCGCCATTGCCTGTGGTGACACAAAAGTCACCTTTGATGCCCCGCACAATAGCACCAGTAATGTCAAGAAAGCCATCTCAAAGCAAGCAAGATTTGATTGAGGAGTTGACTGTAAAGAAGCTAAAATTAGAGATAGAATATTTCAATTTGAAAGTAAAGGCCCTCCAACGTAAACTGGAAGAGTGAGGATTGAAAATTTTGAAGTGACCTTTTACAATAAAGGAGGAATACCGAACCAAAATGTTATATAATGAATCTTTAAAGACACTATCTCTCTTTTTAATTCAGTTTTATTTCAATCTGGATTGGTTCAAATTTTAAAAATATCTTATATGTAATCAAACCATTTTAGCTCACCTGAGCTGAAAGCTCAAGTGAACTTTTCTGATCACCTGTTGTCCGTCGTCTGTCCGTCCGTCCATCTGTAAACTTTTCACATTTTCAACTTCTTCTCAAGAACCACTGGGCCAATTTTAACCAAACTTGGTACAAAGTATACTTACCTGAAAGGGAGCTTAAATTGTTAAAATAAAGGGCCAAGTCCAAGTGTGGTATTCCTTCTTATATTCCAGTATATAAAGAAATCTATACATACTTTTTATCTCACTTGAGCTGAAGGCTAGAGTGTTTCTGATCGAAGAGTGTCCGGCATCTGTCCGTCATTTGTAAACTTTTCACATTTTGGACTCCTTCTCAAGAACAACAAGGCCAATTCCAACCAAACTTGCAACAAAGCATCCATGGGTGAAAGGGATTCAAGTTTGTTTAAGTGAAGTGGCACACCCTCTTTCAAGTTGAGATAGTTAAGAATTTGTGAAAAATTAAAGGCATCTTTTTGAAATTTTCTTCTCAAGAACCATTGGGCCATAAAAGAATAAGAAGAAAAAAGACTTCATTGAAGGTTTCATTTCATAGTGTAGATTCAAGTTTGTTCAAATCATGCCTCATCCCTAGCCCCCTTTTTTGAAAAGGGGGGGGGGGTGAGGGTTGGACTACTATATATTTGATCTATTCAATAATCAATTTCTGCTTTTCTCTAGCCAAAGTCCACATGGGCCTCTTGTTAAATACTGTGCATATTATTGTTGTACCTATCAGATTTTAAATGATATTTATTAAGATATAAAATTTTATATTTGACCTGAAATAAGTCAAGATAATGGCTCTTCACATGTTAAGTGTGTTCATGAATATTAAATATTAATTGTTGACAGTTTACTTTGTTCATTTGTGATGTCAAAAGTGAGTTTCAGCAAACTGCTGTCTGTACAATGTGCCATTAATGTTTTTGCCTCGAGCAGCACCATCATTTCCTGCTTGCATGTGATCCTGAGCATAATCATCACTATCGTCTTCATCATTGCTGTCATCATCATCATCATCAGCAGGAATTGGAATTTGTCGATCTTTACAAATATTATGGAGGACCGCGCATGCTATCACAACCTGACATGCCTTCTGAGGCGACAATCGTATCTCTCCATGCAGAACATGAAAGCGGCGTTTTAACTGGCCTATCCCCCTATGCTCCTAGTCCTTTTATGTGCACTATAAATAATTAAAGCTATTTAACTCACAAGGAGATTTGATATATGTTGCCATATATACTGTACATGTATTATGTGTATTTTTTTATTACCGATGTTTTAAGTACTGATTCATCTCTGTTTTAAGTCATGTTAAATGATTACAACGAAGAAACCGACACAGAATGGTGGACTACCAAATTTTTTCTTTGAATGCTACAGCAAATTTTTATTTGGTCACACATGTAATTTGGAACCATAAATTATAGCTTCGTTTATACATTTACTTTATATTGCTGTGTATAGAAATGTAGTCTATGGCTCAATCATAGCATCCCTATGCTATTAAATTCATAAATATTATTGTGCCTTTTGGTGAAAAAAAAACCCACTAGTGTCTCAGGCCAAAAATTTCCAAATTAAATGTGGGAGACAGAAATTTTTTTTTTAACAAGAGCTTTCTCCTTTTTTTTTGTGTTAAAAGTTATGATATTATACATTTTTATACTCCACCTACTCATAAAACTCGAATAAAAGTATAACAAGAATGGGAATGTTTAGGTGACAAGGGAAATAACTTTTTTCTTTTAAAATAAAAATGGCATATTGAGTTATTCCCCTTTCAATGATCAGTGCCAATGCTGTGGGGCCCGAGAAACTAAAGATTTGTTTTTGTTAACCCTATCTTGGCTTTTTCATATATTCAATGTATTATACATACTTGTTGTAATTTGTCTGTGGCCCAGGCTGAGGAATCCTAAATGGTGTTAGTAGCCATCTACGAGATGGGTAGCCACTGTCACCCAACAAATGTGTGTGAACAGGAATGTGGCCATTTTCGAACAGGACTCGAAGCCCACTTTCATTTAATATGCGGGCCATTTTGCAACAATGTCAATTAGTTTGTATTGGGTATCAAAGACAACTTGCACATTCAAACTATGGTAATGATGTCTATTGACAAACTCATTCTCATTGTTTCTTGGAGCAATTATTTGAACATGGGTGCCATCTATGGCACCAACAATCCCAGGGAACCCTGCTATCTGAAAAAAATGTTCCTGATTTCGTCGAATTGCATCGGGTGATGTTGGAAATTTAATAAATCTACGCACCATTCGGTCTGATGACAAACTTCTTATGGTGCAAGACACGGCTCTCGATACAGAAGATTGAGAAACTCCCATATCATCCCCATTACAAAGCTGCATCTTGCCAGTTGCTAGGAATCTTAGGGTTAATAAAACCTTTTCTGTAGATGTGAGTGCATGATTCCTAATGGATGCAGATCTAATTTCATTTCCTATTAACCCTTCAACAAAGTTTATTCCAGCAGAATCAAGTCTGAACCTTTTAACCAACTCCATGTCTGAATATTCATTGAAATAATCTCTTCTTTCCCTGAAATTTCTTCTTTGAGCCGCCATTTTGTTTAGAATTAAGAAAGAACTTAAGAAATACTTATATACTTAAGACACCTCTTTACTTCCCTTAACTTTAAGTGAATACTTAAGCACTAAGTTAGTTTATGAATCACGCTTAAGTATTTCTAATAAATTTAAGTAATGCTTAGAGTACTTAAGTAAAAAATCTATAACTTAAGTATTTTCTTACACTTAAGAATAATCTTAGAAGTTTTATGAATCCCAGCCCAGAACCCTTGATCCTGGGGCCATGAAATTCATAATTTTGGAAGAGGCATCCTTGCGTATCATAACTATGTATTTGATTTGTTTAAATAATACCCAGGGGCAGAGAAGAGGATTTTCAAAGAAATAATGCACTTTCACTATATGATCTATATAGCCCTGCCCTAGCACCAGAACCCCTTACCCTGGGGCAATGAATTTCACAATTTTGGTACAGTCACCCTTGCTAATCATAAGTATGTATTCAATTTGTTTAAATAATAACCAGGAGTAAAGAAGAAGATTTTCAAAGAAATTTTGCTTTTTCACTATATAATCAATAGAGCCCCCCCCCCCAACCTTTTCACCAGAACCCCTGACCCTGGGGCCATGAAATTCACAATTTTGGTAGAGTCATCCTTGCTTATCATAACTATGTGTTCAATTTGTTTCAATAATACCCAGGAGTAGAGAAGAAGATTTTCAAAGAAATAATGCACTTTCACTATATGATCTATATAGCCCCGCCCTAGCACCAGAACCCCTGACCCTGGGGCCATGAATTTCACGATTTTGGTAGAGTCACCCTTGCTCATCATGACTATGTATTCAATATGTTTCAATAGTACCCAGGAGTAGAGAAGAAGATTTTCAAAGAAATAATGCACTTTCACTATATGATCTATATAGCCCCGCCCTAGCACCAGAACTCCTGACCCTGGGGCCATGAATTTCACAATTTTGGTAGAGTCACCCTTGCTCATCATGACTATGTATTCAATATGTTTCAATAGTACCCAGGAGTAGAGAAGAAGATTTTCAAAGAAATAATGCACTTTCACTATATGATCTATATAGCCCCGCCCTAGCACCAGAACTCCTGACCCTGGGGCCATGAATTTCACAATTTTGGTAGAGTCACCCTTGCTTATCATAACTATGTGTTCAATTTGTTTCAATAATACCCAGGAGTAGAGAAGAAGATTTTCAAAGAAATAATGCACTTTCACTATATGATCTATATAGCCCCGCCCTAGCACCACAACCCCTGACCCTGGGGTCATGAATTTCACAATTTTGGTAGAGGGCTCATTGCTTATTACAATAATGCCAACAGTTTGACCCCTTGTTGTCCAGGAGTAAAGAAGAAGATTTTTAAAGATTGCATTAATTTTGGTGGTTTTAGCCCCACCCCTCAGGCCCCAGGGAGGCAGGGAACATGAAATTCACAAATTTTGTACCCCTTCACACATAGATGCTATATGCCAAAATTGGCTGAAATTGTTTCAGCGGTTTCAGAGAAGAAGCTGAAAATGTTCAAATGTTAACACACGACGGACGACGCACGACGACGGACGAAAACAGATAGCAATAGGTCACCTGAGTGACTCAGGTGACCTAAAAACCATGACCTTGAAATTGTGTGAATATGAAATGTTCAATCTTATTATTTAAAATTATCGTAGATGTTCCGAATCCGCTACCGCTTCTCAAAAGAAGCAGTAGCGGATTCGGAACATCTAATTTTAGTTAGATTGTGAAATGTTGATCTAGGTATCTATCACAATTGTAAACACTGGTAAAGTGGCCTTTAAAATTAACAACAGAATTAAAAGAGGCCTAAGCTTGCAGGTGTTGTAATGGTTGAATTGCAACTCCGTTGGCGGATCCAGGAAAGGGGGTGTTCGGATGTTGTAACCCCATTTATTTTTCAGAAAGAGGAAGAGAGAGAGAGAGTGTGTGTGTGTGTGTGTGTTTTTCTGTAATATAGATATTATTACGTCTAGTAATTTCAGTAAAATAAGTACTTCAATCTCTGCCCTTTCTGCTCTCTAGATAGAGTTTTGCTTATTGCTTTTCTCCTTGTACTTTCACAACCCCGGCCCCGGGCCTCGACCACCCACACGTAAAATGAAAGATTTCACTTCGATATCATCGGAAGATTCCGGCGAACGTACATGGCTATTTTTGGACCATCTTCTGAAGTAACTAACTATAAGAAGTATGCACGAAAGGGGATATGCATAATAGAAAAATTTTTCTCCTTATATCATGGGGATATTTTAATCAATAAAGAGAAAGGTTCAAAATGTCCCCGTAGTATGTTGGGGAGGGGGCTCACTTTTCCTTAAAAAAATAATCTTTTGTTATAATTTGAATATATAAATTTTAATTTGCATTGGAAGTTCCCCTGTACTTTTTGTTGCGGAAAGGTTCAAAATACGGACAATCAAACATTTAAAAGAAATCAAAATGTACCGAAAAGTTTAGACGAAGCCCCCTCCCCCCGAAATAGGATTTTACAGTATAGTGCACAGGTTGTCATTTTAATTTATTTATTTATTGTTGCTTGTCAACTCTTTTTGGAGGTTGCCCCTTTCAAAACCATTGCTACGGACTTGAATATAAGTGCCTGCAATGTGATCTAGACCCCCCCCCCAACCCCTTTTCAAAAACTGCTGAATCCGACCCTGTACTGGAGCACTAGAGGGACTTTATAATAATTCTTAGGCTATTATTTACACACTGTATTGTCTACGGATTTTTACTTTTATTCCGATCATGACAAGGAGCACACGGCGGGTGTGATCGGTCGGCAGGGGATGCTCACTCCTCCATGGCACTTGATTCCACCTCTGAAGTATTTGGAGGTCCGTGTTTGCCATGCTATCGATTTCTGTTGTCTAAATGGACTTTGAGCTTGAATACCGTTCGTTATCTCCATATTTCATTGATACGATGAGATTGAATGTCGATTGAAACATTTGTGACCTGTAAAAATAGGTCTTCTAATGAAGGAAAATAATTAGTGCCACTCAGGATTCTAGCTTTTTGTTGGAAGACTTGTTCTCAACAAAT